AGGTTCTTGTTTACATATTGCTGCAGTTCCTCCATTTCAAGGGCATCATAGTGTACATCCTTGGCCATGGGAGTTTGGCTCCCGGTAACAGTTCAATGGAGCAGTCATTAAGCCGAAGGGGAGGCAGGATGTCGCATTCCTTTTTGCTAAAGCCCTCTGATAGGTCCTGGTACTTGCTGGGGATGAGTGGCTCACCTGGTTGAGACAGAGCAGCTATTTTTGCTAACTCGTTAGGTGAGCTAAACTCTCCGGTAACCTCGGTCGAGTTAAGGGGGGCTTGGGTCCTATGGGTAATCTCACAGTTCTCATTCCCTTCTCCCAGCAGATGAACGGCTTCCATTTGTCTAACCAGGCTAGCCCTAGGATCACCGCTTCAGTCATTTTCAGAGCTACCATGAAACAAATGAACTCCCAGTGCTCACCTATTTCTAAGCATATGGATTCAGTTAATTGTGTGACTAAAGTTCCTCCCATTAAAGAGCCATCGGCTTGCTCAAACCTTATGGGTTTGGAGAGCAGCCTTGCTCGTATGCCCATTTTCAGGGCAAGTGGCAAGCTAATAATGCACCGGGAGCATCCTGAGTCCACTAGTACTTTCAGATCTACCTGTGTCCCGGTCTTAGGGACTATGAGCTTGGCAGGCAGAGAAAAAGGTGGAACGGGTCGACTCACCATCGGGTCGTTCTCTCCTTCGTCGTCACTGTTGTAGGAGGGCAGAGCAGCAGCAAGTCCAGTTTGGTCCTTGGCAATCTCCTGCGTGGGCAACATGACTTGGGCAACGGGTTCCTGCACGATCCAGTTGGATTTCTCTTTTGCCGGCTGCTGGGCTGGTTTCTTCCTCACTGGTGGTCCCGGTCTATTCTGCTGTTGAGGGTAAGGGACTGGGCAACTCACAGCTCGATGTCCCTGTTGTCCATATCTGAAGCACTTGATCGATGGGCCTGCAGGTGGCTTGGGATTTTCAGCGGCCACGACGGTTTGAGGCTTTTGGGGGGTGTCAGCTATTTGGGTTGGTCTGGCCTTGGCCCGGCTTCTTGCGGTGGTGGCTTCTTATAGTGAGCAAGCTCGACATCCAGCCTTACTGCTGCCTGGTACCATTCTTGCAATTGATTAGGGACCACTCAATAGACACAAGCCTGGGAGAGGTGATCATCCAGTCCCTCCAGAAATGGAGGAGGATCAGCAACAGATGTCGCTTAATTACAAACTTATACTTGAAAAAAATTCTTGGAGCCACCGAGATAATCAAATCTAGACTGAAAAACCAAGGTGCCAGCTTAAATCTACAAAGCAAAACCCTGATTGCAACTAAAGAACCTACAACCCAAAAGACAACAGAAGCAGAAGAAAGTAATACCAAGATGGAGGGCTTTAAAGATCAACAAGTACAGCTTACTGAAAACTTAGACAATCAAATAACAACTACAAAATTGGACATGACTTTCTATTTAAACCAGAAGAAACCTGAGGAACAAGAAGACCAGATCGAATTGAGGACAACTATACTAGAGCAAATATGGGGATCTGAGCCACTAGGGCGACAACTTAATGATTATGAATGAGCCAGTTCCTCTAGAAAATTGATAACTAGATGGTCTCCTTCAATTCAAGTAACATGCACAAGAATGAAGGGAGATCTATCTGATGATTTAAAAGCATTGGTATGGAAGCCTGGTTGGCATAAAAAGAAAGCTAGAGTTAGGTTTAAAAAATGGGGTCTTTTGATTTATTAGAGAGGATCCTAAATTCTTAACTAATGGGCTAAAGGGAGATTTTGATATGAGGGGAAATTTGATTATTAGATTTAAAAATTGTTGGAAAATAATAAAAAAATAAGGGATTAATTGGCTTAATATTGAGGATTTAGACTTATAAGGGAAATAAAAACTAAATATTAGGAAATAGCTTTGAATTATTGTTTAGCCCAGACAATACAGATGATGGACTTGAGATAATAAAGGATACTCCATTATTAAGTAGTGATGTACTAGGATGAGAAATAGAAAATGTTTATGAAATAAAATAAGAATATATTTAAGTAAGTAATATGTGTATTTTAGATATTATAACTTTTATGTAGTGAGACAAAGGAAATTTGGCTTACCCAAAATTCAAATACTATGGATATTAAAGGTTAAATTGGAGTACTGTAATTAAAAACTAAAAATTAGGTAAAACTTAAAAACAGGATATGGATATGTATAAGCAAAAACATATTGATAAATGTGATAATGAAGTTTTAACTGAGTTTGATACAATTAGAAATTTATTAGCTTAAATATGATATAGCAGTGATGGCGAACCTTTTAGAGACTGAGTGCCCAAACTGCAACCCAAAACCCACTTATGCATCGTCGGGTGCCGGGTGGGTGTGGCCCATTGGGTGGGCGTGGTTGCAGTGGTAACAGCAGACTGTTACCACTGCAACTAAAAAGTTCAATCAATCAATTCCAATTTTGCAAGATCTTTTTTTTTGTGAGAAGTTGAAATTGATTGATTGATTGAACCTTTTTTTTTGTACACGGAGACGGAGGCCTAAAGCAAAAAGGTTTTATAAAACCCAGCTGAAGGCCTAGGACTGGGGCGATAGCGCACATGCCCACAGAGAGGGCTCTGAATGCCGCCTCTGGCACCCGTGCCATAGATTCGCCACCACTGTGATATAGCAAATATTAAGGGAAATAGAGAAGAAATATTTGATGATGTAACCTGAGATATATACTAAAGATTTTGTTATTGAACTATTGACCAACCCAATCACCACGTTGTTTTCCAAATACTTAAATGTAAAACTGGAAAACCAATAAAATATTATATATATAAAAAAGATTTATCAAGACCTTAAATCAGTAATATCATAGCTTGAGCTAAGACCCTGGATCACAAGGCTAGTCACCTGGTATAAGGAGTTAGACTACCGTGGTGGTGCAATGGTTAGAATGCAGGAGTGCAGGCTTAATTCTGCCCACTGCCAGCAGTTTGATCATCATCCACTCAAGGTTGGCACAGCCTTCCATCCCTCTGAGATCAGTAAAATGAGGACCCAATAGATGGGGGGGGTTCCTAAAAGTCCTAGACCCTCTAAAGCACTATGGGGCAGTATATAAGCCTAAATTCTTGCTATTGATATGGTCATGCACATATAAGGGAAGCTTTTTGACATGACTAACAGAATCTGAAAAGACATTTCCTCAAAACAACAGAATTGACCTGTTAAGAAGGAAAGGAATATCTTTTTAATTCACTTCTAGAAGA